GCTCCCCACTCCCCACAAACGGGAGCAGGAGGCAGGCAGGCAACAAGAGAAGCCGGGGATACTTCACCATCAGCCAAAAAGTAACAGTGGGAAAAAACAGAAGTGAGATTTGTGCAAAAGAACTGGGGGTTGGGGGGACAATGCAGTGCCCTCTCCATGCCCCTGCAGGGCCCAGCCCACACAGCACAGACAGCGCCTGCATCACCAAATCTATGCTGAGGGGCTACAAGAGCATAGGCGGAACAGGGCACCCACAAAGGAACAGGAAGGAAACACCCCTCCAGGGCTCTGCTAAAGGCTGTCGGTCTGTCCTGCCTTGCAGAGGCACAGCTGCATGCAGCCCTGGGGGCCAGGGAGCAGCAGCCGAGAGAGTAGGGCCTAGAAGGCCAGGCCCAGTCCTGCCCCGCTCAACACCTGACCCCACCACCCTCTTCCTGTCTCTAACCATAGCCCACAAGCTCCCATGTGGCCAGACCTCTGCCAACCTCTCTCACCTCCCTGCACCCTTGCCCTCACCACGAATGCCTCTTTGTGCTCTTACAACAAGCTCAGGCTCTCCATAGGGCCTGGGCACCTGCCATACTTTCCAGCTAGACCCCATTCAAGTCCCAGCTCAACTCCAAAGAGACTTGTCCTACAAACCCCACCCAAAAATGCACGCCACCTCCTGCAATCCTCATCTCAAAATCTACTTCCTTCACAGACTTACTCTGTGTCAAATGCATCTACTTATCCTGTCTTAACTATTTAACTCCTGCTATCAACTCCAAGGGCCAGAGAGGAGGGAAACACCCACTCCTTCACCATCATGGCCTCAGTCGTCAAACAGAGGAAAGGAGGTTACTGAAGAGTCACACGCACTTGTCCCCTGTTTACTAAGTGACTCTGCGGCCCTCACTTGTGAAATCCACATTCCCCAACAGTATTTGGCCCTGTAGCACTCAGGCAGAATGGGCCTTCACTGCCCTAGGCCCTACCACCACCTGCCACGAATGACCTAGACCAAAATCTACGATTCTGAGACCCCTGGCAGAGGGAGTAGGAGAGAGATTCAGTCTTAGGAAGAGTGCACAACATGGGGGCGAGGGGGAAAGCGCCTGCACAGAGGGCCCAAAGTATAAGTAAGGGTCAGGGAAGGCAAATGATTGGGCCGCAGAAGTTGTAAAAGGGTAGGCGACTAGTTGAGTTCATCTTGCTTTTTGCTGTTGAGCTTCTACTTTGTAAAGTGTTGATTTTAATTTGCGGAAGGGTTTTTCTGAGGCCCGACTGCCTCCCTGTCCAGCTTCCAGCCTAGGAACTGTTTGTGTCTCCTTCCGAGGCCGAGCCCCTGGGCGCTGCACCAGGCCACCAGGCCAGGTGGTGCTCTGATTCACAGAGGGCTCTCCAGCCTCACTCGACAGAGGACGGCAAGGGGGCTGGCTGGCTGCTGCTTCCTGGCACTGGGGCCAGCAGAGGAACGCGAGGTGTCTGTAACCAAAGGCGGTGCTGGCCTCTGACTGCCAGAGCCACAGGTCAGTCAAGACAGAGGAACAGGGGGTCTTTCATGCCCTGATTCCCTCAGCATCACCAGAGCTGCTTAGAATCTGGCACACCCCCAGGACCAGGTCCCCAGTGCAGTGGCCCTCGTCCTCCTTGGCCCAAAAAAGGACTTCTACTTGCCTGCCTGGCAGCCCCTACTCCAGCGGCTGAGATGGCCCCTGCGCATCTGAGAGCAGCTGCACCCCAGTTCAGAACAAGCCTGGCAAACATGGCAGGCAGGGGGAGTGACAGCTCGGGGCTGACAACAGGACGCTCCGCCCAGAGCCCAGGAGGTTGCACAACACGCCCCTGCCTCCAGAGTCAGCCAATGGCTGGTTGAGAGCGAGCACAAAAAAAAAAAAAAAAAAAAAGACAACAACAAAAAAACTCAAAAGCTTGGTCCTACCTTTCCTTTAGGCAGGACAACCTGCAGTGCAACTTGACCCCAGAGGCAGGGGCTTGCTCCCCTCCTCCCCCTCCCCTGCTTCCTAGCACAGCACAGGGCAAAGGGATCCTGTCCTGGGCTCTACTTCTGGGAAACCAGCCTGCTCAGAAGCCACACACTCTGGGACTCAGACTGCAGGGCAAAGAACAAATGCATGGCGCCACCTCTCCCCAGCAGAGCCGGGAAAACACTGGAAACACGGGGAGGTCTTGAAGCAGCAGAGAGGTACATGGGCTTTGATGGCAGCTGGCAGCTGGAGGAAGATGCAATTCAGAGGCCAGAGGCAGGTCTGAGGCAATGCAAGGACCGAGCCGCAAGGGGGGGAAATCAAGACCTACAAGGACTGTGCCAGGGTCTCCTTTCTCTATTTGCCCAGCTTTCCCTGTACTATTTTGTATCGGAAAATATACCTTTCAAAGGAGGCAATAAAATATACTTTATGAAGCACTTTCAAAAACACATAAAACATCTAAGAATCAGGAATGTCTGGAACAACAAGCTCTACCGGCTGGATGCAACTGCAGGTGTTCAATTCGAGTCTGGCGTCCCCTGGTCTCATGGGGCAGGGAAGGTCCAACCCAGTCCCTGTCACACTCCCACCTCCTGCGGCTCAGACTTCCCCGGGGCAGACATGATGACTGCCAGGGCTTCCCCCGCCCTAAAGCTGTCCAGTGATTTGATACAATCAAGTCAAGAAACAGAAGAGTGAACTTGAAGCTCGGGCAGTGATTTCAATACCCTGGGCGCTCAGCAGCCAACTCCACGGATGGGTGAAAATTGGACGTCAGAGCTCAGAGAGCTGAAGCTGAGCCCCTTGGATGAAGAGGCGGTTTCTTCCGAGGCTTAGACCGTGGCTCTGTGGCTTGGGAAAAGATGCCGGCTCCTCATGCCTCCTGAGGAAGGTCTTTCAAGCTAAAGCAATACAGGACTACGCCAGGAATGACGGAATGCTTTCCTGTGAAGTGGAGGGGAAACTGCAACCAGCAATCATCTGAGAAGACCACAAAGAGTCAGGCGTTTGCAACAGAGGCTGCGGATCAGACACCAAGCGAGGTCTGAGGTCCTTAGCTCTTCCCTGGTGCACCGGAGATTAGGGGAGTGTTTTCCTCTTCCTCCTACGAGTAAACTCAAATCCACCAACATACATCATCAGCTCCTCTCAGAAAAGAAAATGCACTTAGAAGGGGAAAAAAAGTTGTTATTTTACAAAGAGTACAGCCACCGGATCTCAGAGGAAGCAGCGCACAAATAGGTCCAAAGGGATTCACTTGAAGCCAGCTGCCTGTACTAACCAGCTTCCTCTTTCGTGCCCATATATCAAAACAGACAACTTCAACCAGAGAATTAGCACGTGTGTCCTCCAGGGCATAAATGAACAGTTGATCCTCTCCGCCACACAAAGGCCATAGGCAGGGCCAGGACACAGACCTCACGTGAAGGCCAAGGTCAGCCTGAGCATCAAGAACTCCAAACGCTAGGGCCCACTCAACACACTTCTTTCAGAAGGCGAACTTTCTAAAATCCAACAGGAGCAGCCAGCTCTGCGGCCTAGTAAGTAGGCTAAGCCTCCGCCTGCAGCATCGGCATCCCATATTGTCCTCCACTCGTGCCTGGCTCCTCCTATTCTGATCCAGCTCCCTGCTTATAGCCTGGGAAAGCAGTGAAAGCTGGCCCAAGAGCTTGGGCCTATGCAACTGCCAGGGAGACCCTGAAGAAGCTCCTGGCTTCTGATTGGCCCAGCTCCACACCTTGAGGCTATTTGGAAAATGAACCAGCAGGTGGAAGACCTCTCTCTGCCTTTCCCTGTCTGTAACTCTGCCTCTAAAATAAATATATAAAATCATTTAAAAAGTAAACAAAATTTAAAATCCAATGAGCACAAGGGAAAGTAATAGAGAATGATGGTCCAGGCCCTGGGCAGCACGCTGACGTGGGTGCAGCCTGATGTCCCTACACACTTAGAACACGCTTGCCTGCACCCTACCGGGGTGGGAAGATGAAAGAGGCAGCCGAAGTGCGCAAGGAGGGTGGGGCGGGAAGGGCCCTTTCACTTCCAGCAGGGCGCGTGCTGAGGCAAGGGTGAGGCCCGGGCGCCACCCACTGAAACCTCCAACCTGCTTCGAGCGGCTCTGCATCACCCTCTTCGGGGCCCAGCCCGGGTCCCTAGAGATGAAGAGGGCTGGCAGTCAGAGGCCTCTAACTGTATTCCTCGCTGGGATTCCACAGGCCGAATTCACTCAACTCCAGAGCTCCCCCAGAGGGGAGCAGAAAAGCAACCGGGTCGCGCACCTAGACAGACCCCACCAACCATTCCCTGGCCTCGCCCCTCCCATCTGTACAACGGGCCTCCCGAAGTTCCACCAAATACCCTTCAGCCGAACTAGAACGATTCACCGCCTTCCACATCCACAAGCCACTGATCACATCAGACGCGCGCCGGGGACGAGTCCCCGAGTACCAGATACTGCGGAAACCCGAGTCCCCAGGCTAGGGCTTGGCAGCGACTTGACCACCTGCCCCAGGGTCCTGGACTGAAGGGAAAGTAAGACCCCGGTGCCTCCCTCTCGATTCAAAGCCAGGAGCCTCCGTTCCCAAGTCAGCCCCATCAGGGGCCCCTTCGTCCGCACAAGTTGTAAACGTGCAGGCCGCAGCCGCCAGGCCGCCTCCCATTGCAGTAGCGCCCAGGCCCGGCGGCGCCATGCGCAGTGGCAGCGACCCGCGCGCACGCCGCCAGGTCATGCGCGACCCGCGGCAGCCCGAGCAGCGGTGGAAGCCGCCGCCGGCAGGCCCGTGACCCAGTGCTCGCTCGCCGCGCACCTGCCGGCCCCGCCAGCCATCCGGAGCCCGCCCGGTCTGAATGCTGTCGCGCGTGGGGCAACCGGGACCTACCCCCTCTCCCCCCGCCACCCCGCAGCCGCCGGCCTCACCGCGCCGGCGCACCTGCAGCACGCGCCGGCCGGGCCGACCCGGCGCTGGGGCCCAGCCCGGCCCACGAGCGCCTCCCTCCCCGGCCCGCCCCGCCGGCCGGGCGCCTCACCAGCGGTAGCAGCCCTCAGAGGCCTCCAGGGTGAAGTTCACGCGCGTGGACCGCGTGAAGGGCAGCAGCACTTTGGGGATGTTGAGCTTGGCTGCTGCGGGGATGGGGCCCAGCGCCAACAGCACTGCGAGCGTGAGCAGCGGCCGCGGACACCCCCCGCCCCGCGCCGCCATCCTCGCCGCGCTTCACCTCCGGCGACCCGGCCGCCCGCCCGCGCGCTCCCCCGCGCGTCCTCGGTCCCGGCCCGCGCCGGGCCGGCAGGTGATAAGCGCGGGAGCGAGGGGGCGGGGCGTGGGCCGCCGCGAGGGCCACTTCCTGGGCCCTGGCGGGCCGAGCGCGGGAACTGGAGGGGGCCGAGCCTGCAGCGACCCCACCCCCGGCCTCAAGCCCGCACGGCCCCGGGGCGCACCCAGCTCGCCGCGGGACACAGGGTGGGGGTGGGGCGCGGCGCGCGCCTGCGGTGGTGGGGAGGGCTGAGTGCGCGCGCCTAGGGACGCCCGCGCAGATCTCCGGTCGCACGCCTGGGCCGCATGGTGGTAGTGGGCGCGTGAACTGAACCGACGCCACCCAGGAGCTTCCCAACCGTGCAGTGGTCATTCACCTTGCTCGGCGCCCCTCGTGGCGGAACAGGGCCGCCGGCTCCCCGACTGCGAGGGGACTGCTGGGACGCACGGTGCCTCCACCGAAGCCATGCTGCTCGGAAGAGGGGCAGAGGCGTAGGCCTTGTCGCCTTTGAGCCCCTTTCGGGGAGAAAACTAACTGGACTAGCCTGAAAGCCCCACGGCCTTGGGGGCCGCCAGCTCCCCAGGCTCTGACTGTTCTCAGTCTTCAAGAAGCTGTAAGCAGTCGCACTGGTAGGTAGGAAGTTAGAAATGAGCCTGTGTGTGTAAGGGGCCCGAGGAAAATGCAAAGGCACAGAAGCTGACTTTGGAAGCAGCCCAGCGCCTACATCAAAGCCCTGCCCAGAGGCTGGTAACCTTCCAGGTGTTCCCAGCCCTTCCCCCAAGGAAAGCTCCCAGGAGAATTCTCTCTCCCCAGGATCAAATGGGTTACCCTGGCCTGATAACACTGAGCAGTAAAACCTCTACATTCTCCTCCAAGTCAGGCACCTGGGGGAAACCCCTTGTCCTGTCGCCAGCAAGACTCCACCTGTCTGACAACACCAGTAGTAAACTTGGGAAGGGATTTTTCTTATTAAACTCAGCAAACCTTTCGGCCTGGAGAAGGGGGCAGAGGTAAAGAAAGTCGGTGGGAAGACTCCCTTAAAAACCAGGAGTCTAAACAAAGCACCCACACTCCGCTCTCTGCTCTCCACTGAGCCACCCACCTGGCCTGCCAGGTATGTTTTCTCCATCTAACCATGTCACCTGGCCTCCCCTAGTCTGAGCGACTGGGCACTCTCTCTCTGTCCCCAACAGAACCTTGCTACTCTGCTCTCTCACACCTGAATCACCTGAATTATTTCTTGCGAGAAGACAAGAACCCCAAGACTTCTCTCCAGTGACAGCACCAGGGTCACACCTGAGAAGCCTGCACCATTGTGTCTCCGCACCACTCCGCCAAAGTTTCAACATGGCCAAGTTCCCGCGTGCATTCTGGGGGCTGATTTGTGGTTGTGCCCATCCTGACCTGCACCAAGGAATGAGGTCAGCAGGTACTGAATGCCTCTGAAACGGTTGTACTGGGGGGGGGGGGGAGCCCAGACTAGTTGGGGGTTAGAGGAGGAGCACGCAGGCCCAGGCCCAGGAGTAAGGAGCCAGGAAGTGGGTGGGGAGACTTGAGTATACCCAGAAAAACCCACACCAACTGCCACTGAATGAGCGAATGCAACGTTCAATTATTTTTTTCTTTCTTTCGTTTTTTACTTATTTGAAAGAGTTCGGGAGAGAGCGAGCAAGCGCTTCCATCTCCTGGTTCACTCCCCCAGCCAGGACTGGGCCAAGCTAAAGCAAGGAGCCAGGAGCTTCTTCAGCATCTCCCACCTGAGTGGCAGGGACCCCAGCACTTGAGCCATCTTCTGTTGCTTTCCCAGGCCATTAACAGGGAGCTGGATCAGAAGCAGGGCAGCTCATCAGGAGACAGCACCCATATGGGACAATAGCTCCGCAGGTGGCGGCTTTACCCTCCATTCCACAACGCAAGCCCAGCCGAGACACTACCTGGAAAAGGCGTTCTCTGGGCTGGACACAGATGTCTCACCAGGCTGCAGACCCCCGCCCCCTCGGGCACCACGGAGCTTCTGGACATGGTGAGGGGCGCCTTGGGATCCCCTTCAAAGCCTGAAGGGCCCAGCCCAGGGAAGTGACTGTTGGGAGATGTCATCTCCAGAGGTGGGGAGGTGTCTTCCTGTGTGGAAGCGGGCATTCTGCTGGGAAAGTTCTAGTGCATTCTCTTTTGTAAGAAAAACGCAGCCCCAGAGTGCGTGTCTAGGAGGCTTCTTCCTTTGTGTTCATGTTTCACACAGTGGACTGCTCTGGCTTGGAGTAGCCACAGCAGTCAGCTGGCTTCCCTTGAAAAGGACTCCTACTCGGGGTGCTGGAGCTGTCACCCAGCACCTTTCCCACAGGCACCTGAGTGCAGTTGAAGACGTTAGTGTTACCGGAGAAATGCAGGGTTCTCCTCTTCGCACAAGAAAGAATTCAGGCGTGAGACAAAGAGTAGTGGGAGGTAAAATAGCAAGGTTTATTAGGGAAGGGACATCCGTAAGGATGCATGGGCACCTCTCCAGACAGGACCTGGGCAAGAGTGCAGTGGCTCGGACTTGGGGGGGGGGGGTTACATGGTTGAGTGGAGAGATTACACCTGGCCAGACCAGGCGGGCTGAGCACCCAGTCCAGCAGTCCGGTTGAGGGGGGGGAGGGTGTTAAGGAGATGGGTCTTGCTTCCCCACCTCTGCTCCTCTTGGAACAAAGGAAAACTTCTGAGTTTTCCCCTGAAGGTATCAGACAGGAGGAAGCCTAGCTGGTGCTATCCTGAGTTTAGAGGAAGGGTGAGCAAGACCCCTGGAGAATGGGGATCCCGAGCAGGGTGGTTGAAATGCAGATACTGGGCTGCACCTGGGAGACTGTGGAAGATTTGTCAGGCAGAAGGGGCGGGGACCCCCACCTGGCAGGTTATCAGGTAGAAGGGGGCAGGGCAGGATGCGAATACCAGGCTGCCCCTGAAACATTGTCAGGATGACTTTGAGATGCAGATGCATATGCTGGACGTAGATGTCTTCTCTTTAAATGTCACACACACATAAGCTCATAACTGACTTCCTACCTAACAGGTTTCTGCATACACAGCAGTAATACACACGAGGGGCCTTCAAAACATTCACAGAAAACAGGCATTTGGCACAGCTGTTAGGACACCACATGGGCTGCCTGCATCCCATGTCCCAGTGCATGGGTTTAAGTCCCAGCTCTACTTTCGGCTCTGGCTTCCTGCTAATGCATGCCCCGGGAGGCATCGGGGGATGGCTCAAGTAGTTGGGCCCCTGCCAGTCACGTGGAAACCCAGACTGAGTGGTCTTTACTTCAGCCTGGCCCAGCTGGGGAATGAACCAGCAGACAGAAAATCAGTTTTGGGACCAGTGCTGTGGCGTATTGGGTTAATGCTCTGGCCTGAAGCACCGGTTCAAGACCTGGCTGCTCCACTTCTGATCCAACTCTCTGCTGTGGCCTGGGAAAGCAGTAGAATATGGCCCAAGTCCTTGGGCCCCTGCACCCACATGGGAGACCCGGAAGAAGCTCCTGGCTCCTGGCTTAGGATCGGTGCTGTGCCGGCCATTGTGGCAATTGGGGAGTGAACCATCGGATGGAAGATCTCTCTCTCTCTCTTTCTCTCTCTCTGCCTCTCTTCTCTCTGTGTAACTCTTTCAAATAAATAAATAAATCTTAAAAAAAAAAACTTCACAGAAAATTCATATAATACAAAACCTATACATGGATTTTTTTAAAAAATCAGTTTCAATCTCACTTTCTTTTTCTTCCTCTTTCTTTAAAATACATAAAAATAAATGTGTTACTTTCTAAAAATGATCATGCAGGAGAAGGCATTTAGCCCAGCTGTTAGGATGCCTGCAGCCCACATCAGAGTGCCTGGGTCAGAGTCCCTGCTCCAGCTTCTTGCTAATGCAGACCCTGGAGGCAGCAGTCATGGATCCAGTACGTGGGCTCCTGCCACCTATGTGAGAGATGTGGATCACATTCCCTGCTCCTGACTCTGCCCCAGTCCAGCCCTGCCACTGTGGCATTTCAGGAGTAAACCAGCAGCAGATGCGAGTGCTCTGTTACTCTCTGCCTTTCGAGTAAATAAGAATGATTTTTTAAAAAATATATTTATCAGAACTGGTGCTGTGGTGTCGCAGATAAAGCTGCTGCCTGCAGTGCCAGCATCTCATTCAAGTCCTGGCTGCTCAACTTCCAATCCAGCTCTCTGCTGTGGCCTGGGAAAGCAGTAGAAGGTGGCCCAAGTGCTTGGAACCCTGAACCCTCGTGGGAGACTTGAAGCTCCTGCCTTCAGATCGGCTTAGCTTTGGCCATTGCACCCATTTGGGGAGTGAACCAGCGATGCAAGACCTTTCTCTCTTGCCTCTGCCTCTCTGTAACTCTGCCTTGCAAATAAATAAATCAATATTAAAAAAAAAAAAAAGATCTATTGCCAATCCAAAGCCAGGAGCTAGGATCTTCTTCCTGGTCTCCCACGTGGGTGCAGGGGCCCAAGGACTTGGACCATCTTCTGCTGCTTTCCCAGCTGTGTTAGCAGAGAGTGGGATCAGAAGAGAAGCAGCCGGCCAGCACTGTGGCTCAATAGGCTAATCCTCTGCCTGCGGCGCCAGCACACAGGGTTCTAGTCCTGGTCAGGGCGCCGGATTCTGTCCTGTTTGCTCCTCTTCCAGTCTAGCTCTCTGCTGTGGCCCAAGATTGCAGTGGAAGATGGCCCAAGTTCTTGGGCCCTGCACCCGCACAGGATACCAGGAGAAGCACCTGGCTCCTGGCTTTGGATCAGTGCCTTGCGCTGGCCACAGCAGTCATTGGGGGGGGTGAACCAACGGAAAAGGAAGACCTTTCTCTCTTTGTCTCTCTCTCTCACTGTCTACTCTGCCTGTCAAAAAAAAAAAAAAAAAAAAAGAAGCAGCCAAGACTTAAAATGGTGCCCACATTGGATGCCGGCTCTCAGGCCAGGGCTTTAACCTGCTGAGCCACAGCACCAGCCCTGATAAAAATAATTTTAAAAATTGAATTAAAAGATATATTTATTTTGGTGCAAAAATGTGAAAGTTATGCACAGTTTTCTCATAAGACATGTTCCACAAACTTTATGAAAACCTCCCTGTGGGCCAGCGCCGCGTCTCACTTGGCTAATCCTCCGCCTGCAGCACCGGCACACTGGGTTCTAGTCCCAGTTGGGATGCCGGATTCTGTCCCGGTTGCTGCTCTTCCAATCCAGCTCTCTGCTGTGGCCCGGGAGGGCAGTGGAGGATGGCCCAAGTGCTTGGGCCCTGCACCCGCATGGGAGACCAGGAGAAAGCACCTGGCTCCTGGCTTCGGAACGGCGTGGTGTGCCAGCCACAGCATGCCGGCCATAGTGGCCATTTGGGGGATGAACCAACGGAAGGAAGACCTTTCTCTCTGTCTCTCTCTCTCTCTAACTGTATAACTCTGCCTGTCCAAAAAAACAATAAATAAAAGCCCTCCGTGTGTGTGTGTGTGTGTGTGTGTGTTCCCCCAACACACAGGTAAATAAATAAGTTAAGGAACCAAGTGGCAGATTAGGGGACTGAACTGGAGGTTTCTTGCCAAATTAGGATACTGACTCCCTGTGGCCTCATGTTTCTAGATCCTCTGGTTAATGAGGGAAATCATAACACAGATTTTTAGGTGAAACATCTTGATTTAAAGTGATGGCAACTAATTAAAAACAAACACGCACTCTGAGATCCCGGAGAAATAAAAACCACTGTTCACACAAACCCATGTACATGCAGTGTTCACTTTGTCGCTGGTAAGCCCAAAGTGGCAGCAGCCACAGGGCCTTCCATGGGTGACAGTTCAAGTCATGGCGTGCAGTGTCACCCAGCCTTAGACAGGGGCCAGCTGGTGATGAACCCCCAGGGCATTATGCTGAGTGAAGAGGAAAAAAACAGAAAAGGTACACCCCATATAATTGCATTCACATCACAGTCTTGAAATGGCAAAGTTACAGACAAAGAGAAGGATGAATGACTGCCAGGGGTGGGGGTGAGGGGATGAGGCCACTCCTGGGAGGAGGGGTGGGAACAGTCTGCATCTTGCTTGCATTTATGTCAAGTCCTAACAGTGCCTCGGCCTCTAGCTTTGCATGTAGTGACCTCTGGGGGCACAGGTGCATGGTGTCTCCCTGTGCTCTCGATTGCCTGGGCACCTGCAGGTATCTCAACAGAGTTTTGTTACACAAATACAAAAGCAACCGTGGTGCAGCAGTTTAACACCCTGGCCTGAAGCGCCAGAATCCCATATAGACGGCAGTATGAGACCAGGCTGCCCCACTTCTGATTCAGCTCTCTGCTATGGCCTGGCAAAGCAGAAGATGGCCCAAGTCCTTGGGCCCCTGCACCCGCATGAGAGACCCGGAGGAAGCTCCTGGCTCCAGATCGGCGCTGCTCTGGCCATTGTGGCCAATTGGGAAGTGAACCAGCAGATAAAAGACAATCTCTCTCTCTCTCTCTCTCTCTCTCTATCTCTATCTCTGTGTATGTGTGTGTGTTAACTCCCACTTCAAATAAATAAATGAAATGTTTAAAAAATAAATAAATAGGGGCTGGCGCTGTGGTGTAGCGAGTAAAGCTACTGCCTGCAGTGCTGACATCCCATATGGGCGCCGGTTCGAGTCCCAGCTGCTCCACTTGTGATCAAACTCTATGCTATGGCCTGTGAAAGCAGTAGAAAGTGGCCCAAGTCCTTGGGCCCCTGCACCACCATGGGAAGACCCAGAGAGGCTCCTGGCTCCTGGCTTCAGATCAGTTCAGCTCTGGCCATTGCAGCCATCTGGGGAGTGAGCCAGCAGATGGAAGACCTCTCTATGCCTCTGCCTTTCAAATAAAATAAATACATACTTTTAAAAATAAATAAATAAATAAGCAGAGAGCCCAATGAAACACACGTGGGTGGACACGGCCTGCTGACCACCCGTGCGTGCGTGTATACTTGATTCAAGAGAATCGGAAAAATGACACGGTGATGGGCACAGCCGTCCCCCCTTGAGATTGCCCCCATTACGTTATCCTTCAGCACATCCCTGGCCCATGTTTCAGGTCAAGGCCCCAGCCAGGAGTCACCTTCGGGGCATGGAGTTTCCACTCTGCCCTGGGTGTCAGCAATTCCTGAGATGCCTACACAGAGCGTTCTGCCCTGTGCACAGAGACCTTCGGGGATGGAAAAGATTGGTGTAAGCCAATTTCCTACTTTACAAGTAAAACAAGACAGGAAAATGCTTCCTGTGGCTTATATCAGCACCTCCCAAACTTCTGCCACTTCCCAGCATCCTAAGAAAAATCCTTATAATACCCCAGTACCACAGATACTGTTATTTCCTACTTGTCTGTAAATCAAAGTGTTTACGTCCATTTATTTAAGGAGCAAACTTTGTCCCTTCTGTAAATAGAATACCAGTATCAGTTGCCAAAATAGAAGCAGACATTAAATAAATACAAGGAAACAAAGGGATGCCATGAGGACCCGGAGATACTGCTTCCTGGGGAAGGCTCTGGCCCAAGGCTCCCAGGCTGTCAGAGGAAGAAAACCCAGGAGACCATGTGGAAGACAGCCTGGCTGACCCTTGCCCTTCTCCAACCTGAAAGATCAAGTGAATTTTAAAGGCAATGAGCTTTTTCTGTGGCCTGCAGTCAGGGTTCATCCACCATCATTTTGTAACAACTTAGTTATTTGAAACAAATCATTTCACAGTGGAGAACCTCCAACAGGCACCATGAGAGATGGAAGAGTATGAACTCTCCAGAACTCCGTGGAAAATACGTGTGATGAAAACATACATGGATTTCCAAATGTTTCTGCACCAAAACAAATGGGCTTTCATTCCACTCTCCATGGACTCTGAAACAGCTTTGGGTAATGAAGTCCCATGAGTGTCTAGTCCTAAGGCTATAACCTTAGGTCAGTTCTACTCCTGTGGCCAACCCCTGCCTGGTACCACTCTGAAACAAATCCAAGACACCCTTCATTCCACCTGGATTTCAGTGTGTATTTCTTAGAGATAAGCAGCTTTCGTATACAATGTAACAGCAACACTAGTATCACACTTTAAGGATCAGCAGTAATTCCTTCACCATAGGGTGTTCAGTTAGAGTTCAAATCTCCAACTGTCTCAGGTTGTTTTTTTTTTTTTAAGTTTGTGTTTTAAGAATTGGGATCCAGGCCGGCGCTGCGGCTCAATAGGCTAATCCTCCACCTAGCGGCGCCAGCACACCGGGTTCTAGTCCCGGTCAGGGCGCCGGATTCTGTCCTGGTTGCCCCTCTTCCAGGCCAGCTCTCTGCTGTGGCCTGGGAAGGCAGTGGAGGATGGCCCAAGGTGCTTGGGCCCTGCACCCCATGGGAGACCAGGAGAAGCACCTGGTTCCTGCCTTCGGATCAGCGCGGTGCGCTGGCTGCAGCGCGCCAGCCGTGGCGGCCATTGGAGGGTGAACCAACGGTAAAAAGGAAGACCTTTCTCTCTGTCTCTCTCTCTCACTATCCACTCTGCCTGTCCAAAAAAAAAAAAAAAAAATTGGGATCCAGGGACCAGCACTGTGGAGTAGCAGGTAAAGCTGCCACTGCGTGTCGGTTCAAGTCCCGGCTGCCCCACTTCCCATCTAGCTCTCTGCTATGGCCTGGGAAAGCAGTAGAAGATGGCCCAAGTCCTTGGGCCCCTGCATCCAGGTGGGAGGCCCAGAAGAAGCTCCTGGCTCCTGGCTTTAGATCGGTGCAGCTCCAGCCATTGTGGCCAACTGGAGAGTGAACCATCAGATAGAAGAACTCTGTCTCTCTCTCTGTCTCTCTGTCTCTGTCTCTCTCTCTCTCTCTGCCTCTTCTTCTCTTTGTGTGTAACTCTGACTTTCAAATAAATAAATAAATCTTTAAAAAAAATTGGTATCCAAGTAAAGTGCACATAGCAAGTCGTGGAAATATCTTTTAAGTCTCTTCCAATCCACAAATTCCCTCTCTAGCTCTCTGCCCTTAAAAATCATGTGCTGCCCCTCTTATCTTTGTGGTTTTAAATATATATATATTATATAAATTATTTGAAAGAGTTATGGGGAGCAAAACAGAGAGAGAGAGATACAGACAGACAGATCTTCCATCTGCTGGTTCACTCCCTAAATGGCCAAAATGGCTGGGGATGGACCAGACCAAAGCCAGGAGCTTCTTCTTCTGGGTTTCCCATATGGGTGCAGGGGCACAAGCATTTGGGTCATCTTCCACTGCTTTCCCAAGTGCATTAGCAAGGAGCTAGATGGGAAGTGGAACAGCTGGGACTTGAACCAGCACCCAGCACTGCAAGCCACAGCTTAACCAGCTATGCACAGCATCAGCCACATCCTCTTTGTCTGTGGAGTAGCCATTTGCCATTTGTACTGCAGAGCACCTCCAGGCCGGGTCCTGCCCCCCAGGTTGGCCCCTGGCATGTGGTATCGGCTTGGAGCAGCAGCAATGTCAGTTCCTCATCACCTGAGTCTGCTGCTAGGTCTCAGTGTGGATCCTGGAAATAGGAAAGGGCCACCCCCCTCATCCCAACCCCCCAGAGACTTTCAACGCCACCTCTGAGCTGCAGACCTCGGCTTTGTGGGGAAACAAAGGAAGAAGATGATTGGGAGCTGTGGAATGGCTTCCACCTCTGCAAAGGGCCTCCCAGAACCTCATGGTGCATAAGATAATGGCACCACTTAATTACAGGAATTGCTGCTTTTTATCAGTGCCCAGACATGCTGCCTGCTCGTGTGGTATGTTTTCTACGTGTGTATTTTCTCTTACTCAAGAAGAGGTGTGCCCACTTCCCAGGATCGCAGACCACTGCCTGCAGCCGGTGAGCTTCCTGGGGACCCCTGGGCCCTTTCTCCTCACCTGCTCTCTCCCCTCTTCCTCACATGTACTGCTAGGTG